TTTTTCTCACTGGGAGAGGAAAAACAGAGATTTAACCATGATATGGATCTTGAATTTAATTTGATGCTTATATTGAAAGAATACAATTTTATTTACTGATTTCACATTTAGGAAACTTCTGATTAACATCCTTGAACTTGATGCTAATTAAGCTTCCAGGAATTTCTGCTTTACCCTTCTTAATCGTAAACATTAGAAACCTTTGTTAGCTCCCCTTGGAGCCCCTGGATTTAACTTGAAATGGTTTAAAGTACAAATTTTGTTAGCTTTTTGTATGTTTTGATTGTTTGTGTTCTGTAGCTTTCAACTTGAGTTTTGAGATCACCAGCCAAAGGCCTTTTTTTTTTTTTTTTCATATCAGTGGCACTGCTCACACTTGCAGAAGTTGGGGGTCAGTTTTTCCTCCTGCCACTAAACAAACAAGTAAACAAAATTAAAAATAAATAAACAAAAACAGTGTGTTAGGAATTTGAGCTTCTTTTCCTTACATACCTGCAATTTTGAAATCAACAAATAAATTAGATATAAAAAGCCCAGGGAATGCTTTTCCACTGGCTGCCCTCCTCCCCTTCACCCCCCCCATCCACTGGCTGCCCTCCTCTCCTTCATCCCCCCCATCCACTGGCTGCCCTCCTCCCCTTCACCCCCCCCATCCACTGGCTGCCCTCCTCTCCTTCATCCCCCCCATCCACTGGCTGTCTTCCTCTCCTTCACTCCTACCCACCTCTGTCTCTCTGTCTTCCCACTGGCTGTTTTCCTCTCCATCCCTCTGAACCCAAAGGAAAATTATCAACTACTCTGTTAGCTTTTAGGGTGCACTAAAAAGCTAATTGTAGTTTTATACATTTTAAAATACATTCATTTATTCACAGTATTTCCTAGATGTTTTCTTGCACATCTTCCCTTCTCCCCCAACTTTTGAATTATGGAGGATATGCCTCATCTCTCAGTATTCTGTACTTCCAGGAGACACCATAAAACCAGCCTGTACTTTTATCTTTCAGATGGCACTTATTTGTGGGGTATGTATGTCTATGTCTGACTGCTGTTTTCATCTGCCAAATAAAGGTTATTTTGTTTATAGATTTCATTGAAGCAATGAAAACAAAGTATTTGACTTAGGAAAGGATGTTTGTTACAGGATTGCCTACACCCCTTCTTCATGACACAGATTTAGAGTGACACAGTCAGACCTGTGTGATTAACAGTTCCAGATAAAGTCATTGAATTTAGTCTTCAAAGCTTTACTCCCAGATAGTATTCTGTAATGGGTATTATAAATATAAAACTTAATTAAGTTTTAAAGAGAATGTCTCAGTGCTGGAATATACCCATCTTTCTCCACAGTGGAGAAAATTTCCTTAATGGGCTTTCTAAGTAGAGGTGAGACTTTCCATTCAGTAAGATGAACCCAGAGTAGACCAAGATGAGTCCTGAGTTCATTTCTGACTTGTGTTGTTTCATCTTGCCTTGGCTGTTGACTCAGTCTCCTGATGGATAGAGCTTTGTGGATGTTGCTTTCCTGTTCCCATACAGCTGGATGGTTAATGTGTACAAAACTGAAAGGGTTGTGTGACTGTTCTCCCTTGTTTTCCCCTCCTCAGTTTCTATTTCTTCCTACATGAAATAGAATATATTTTGTTAGAGAGAAAAGCATTTCGGAAATTGCCTGTTTCATAAATTGTCTGCTGACATAAAGTGGTTGAATGCTGTATTCTTGTCTCATTTATTTTGAAAACTTTGCTACTGAACTCACCTTAATCAATGAGCTCAGTGTTGTCTCCAATAAGTTACGTGTTGGATATATTGATTGGGAGGGATTTTAGAAAACCCATCTGGGGTTTATAATGTCAGCAGTGTTTTGATTATGAAAAGAGTTGGAACCTGGGGACATGGAACCAGGTGGCGAATGTCCCAAAGCCAGTGGTGACATGGTGGACTGGTTTCCTCCTGGGATCTAGTTCATGCCCTGCACTTTAACTGCAGTGACTGGCTACTATAGATTCACTTTTTTTTTTCTCATTAAAAATTAAAAAAATCAGACTGTCCATAAAAAGATTTGTGAAAATATAAACTTGGGAATTGATCTGGAGAACTGGTACACAGCCCCCCAACCCCCACCCCTTTGAAATGAGGCCTTTACATTTCCTCAGCTGCCCTGCCTTTCCAAGATCCCCTTTATGTGCAAGAGTGGAGGCTGAGCCAAGGTTGGCTGGCTGATTGAGCTTGTGTGGGGGATAAAACAGTGAAATTGACATCTACAAACCAAGTTCCCCAGCTAGACATGGTTCTTGAGAGAAAAGGGGGTTGGTTACTGGGCAGTGATTGTTTTCCCCATTAAAATTAGTGTTGAAAGATTCTGGAATGCTCTACAATAACTAGAAGGCTCAAATATTCAAATCAGGTTTTACTCCCCCTCCCTTGGAGAGTGGTCTTTCCATATTTGAATAATTATGTTTTTCTTTGGACAAAGAGGATAAGGTAGCTGAATATTTATATATGATGAAAGCATCATTATGAGAACATTGGTTTATTTTGGCAGCTTTTATTTACAAAGAATATTGCTTGTTTCCCCTCTCTCTTGTTGTCCCCTCCCCAAACTCAGAAGTAGATCTTTTAGTTCTGATTGAAATCATGTGATTATGCCTTTTACCAGATAGATGCTCATTTTTCCCCTCTGACAGCACACCACCATCTTGTTTGACTTAAATTGAAATATCAAGCTCTTGTGGCACCACAAACATCAAGAAACATACGGTAATATGCAAACACGTGCCTGCCATTTCCTACATCTCCTCTTCCCTCATCTCCCATGCCTACTGTTTTGTGGGGTGGAAAGAAAAGCTCGTGGGAGGTGGGTTATATTCAGCCTATATTGGTCATTTCCATATTTGTTCTAATATTATTTGAAAAATTCACGGTTGGTCATTGCTCCTGACATAAGAAAGCAGTAAGTAGTTTCTATATTGTAGTCAGTAATAAGTTGGGCATATTCGATTCCTTTGACTCTGCTGTAGAGCACAATGCTTTCTAGTAGCCATGGGGGTCCTTTCTTTCAAAAATCTTTGAGGCCTTTTGCCAGTGCAACTCCAGCATAGAGCAGAGAAGTGCTTTCTGCACCTGAAACTTTTGAGCAGTAAAAGATGACTGTCTTTGTAGCTGCTGATGTTGGCAATGAGTGAGAACATGGTACTGACTTTTAAAGAATGTGTATTAAATTGAGATATGCTTTGTGGTATTATTTGGAATAGAAGGAATTATTTACCACATGGTGTCATGGGAGTCTTGTATGTGGATAATGTATTTTATAATTACACTAAAATCAGTGTTTTATACAGTCTCTTTTCCAGCATTTGTGTGATAATAAGATGTACTGAGAAACTGATTCTTATATGGTGCTTTATTTTAGCTATATACTACTAGTTTAAAACCACAAAAGGTAGACTTCTGAATGCCACATAGAATGTCCAATTGATAGGTAATGCTTCTCAGAACATGCTGATGCTCTTAGCCACTTTTTCAGTCATTACTCTTCTATGACATGCCTTAACAGTATTGTGATATATGTAGACCCAATCCAAGGTGATATTAAAGCTAGGATATATGCTCAATTGAATTGTGTTGGCAGAACACGCTCTGGCAGAGCAATTCCATGTGCTTTCTGCTTCACTGACTGGGTTATTAGATTGATGTAGTTTATTTCTTGAATGATAGAACTGGTTTTAAAAATAAATGAAGCGAGAAGCATCAATTCAGTTAGCATTGATAATTCATTATTATTGGTTAGAAAAGCACTACATTTGTAAACTGATCTTTAATTTATCACTTGGATTAGTATTTGCAACAGGCAGGTTTGTTTTAATTTGAACCAGCTTCCCAATGACCAAAAAAATGTGTTCTTCATTTTGTCTTGAGGTTGGGATTTTAGATAGTTAAAAAGGAAATCAAATTCATGAAAGGAATACTTTTTAAAAATTTATAACACTGGTCAGTGACCTTATGATGAGCACCAACTGTGGGCTGTCCAAGCCTGTGGTCAGATTAAGTCAAGACGTAAAAAAATTCTATAAAGAACTAGTAGTTAATTACTCATATATATGATTAGCTGTGTGCATGTATGTGTATGTAAATTGTGTCTATTAGGAAAAGTTCCTCACCCCGTATTGTGCTGCATGTTCCAATGTTTTTGTCTTAATGTAAGGACATTGTCTTTTATAAATAAATTTTTGAGATGTCACTACTTCCTGTGCCTTTCTTCTGAATAAGTGCTTGCCATGATGTGCCTCAGCATTTGTAAAAACATTTATTCACACTAATAGTTTGCTTTGGAATTTCATAAGTTATATAAGCAGGTAAGTGTGTTTAATTATGGTAATGATGTTTAACTAAAAACAATGGTCACAGTTTGATTTCTAAAATTACTTTATACCCCTAATGGTAACTTCTTGAAAAATAACCAAATGAAGTTTTAAACTCTAAAAATGGAGTTAAGAATGTTCATAAATAATTATTTTCAAGTTGGCTTTCTGTTCTGCTGTAATTTGGCCTATTGATGCGGGGAAGCGTTGTCTAATCCCGGCCCCCTCTGTTCCTAGGTAACAGTCAAAAACAGTGCCAGCAACAGCGGCCCTGCCAGGCCAAACCCATGTGGCTCAGTGTTATTCACTCTGATCCATATGGTCAGGCTGGAGATGGTCCCTGGAGGGGTGTTAACACTCGACAACCCAAGCACCTCCCTCCCTTCGGAGCTTTCCAGTGTGGCTCCTGCTGCCTGCCCATGTGTGATTCTTGATTAATTTTTCATTTTTAATGAAGTTTGATCATGTTTATTATTTCTCATGATTGACTGCCTGGTCCTCCTCCTGTGTAATTGATAAAGCACATATTTCTTCATCTGTCTCCTCTTTCTTTAGGGTAAAGTTGCTAGATGGTGTTCTGTGATTAATGTTAGATTTATTGGTCCCATTAGATGTATAAATTATCTCTCTTTCTCTCCACAGGAAGTTCTACAGACTTTGACCAAGTTTTGTTTCCCCTTCTATGTGGACAGGTAGTGTCAGATTTTCAAACTTTATTAGTTAAAAAAAAAAAAAAAAGAGTATCGATAAACCTGCTATAGAAAATAAAAGCCATGCCACTCTTAACATTCTGTCTGTTAAACCGTGGTTTAAAGTACCTCTGTGGCAAGGAGAGTTGCAGTGTTCTTCTTTCCTGGAAATTTTATTGACAACATCAAAAAGTTTAAATCTTAGAGCTATGTGTTGCATAGTTTTTGAGATGTATTTCGTATGGCATTAAATTTTTTATTTTGGTTATTAGATTTAAACCATGGTTTAAATTAAGAATGGTTGGTATTTAATTCAGTACTATTGAATTTATATTTAAGTATTAATATGTTTGGCTTAAACAAATAATGAACAACTGGCCTTATAGTTTGTTTTCCCTTGGTTTCAACTCCAAATTTAAATAGATATGGACCTATCTTGTTTAGAAGCATTTTACTGCTTAAAAGATACGTTACTAAATAATGTTTTTCATATGGTTTAGGTGACCAATGGTATAGTGTTTCTGGGGAATCAACATTTTCTATAGGCATGAATACTAAAACATACACAAGCTTCTAAACAGTCCATAGTATTCATATCATGAGAAGTGACTTATGGGAAGGGTACAACTATAAGAACTCCAGGATAGGCCGGGCGGTGGTGGCGCACGCCTTTAATCCCAGCACTCGGGAGGCAGAGGCAGGCGGATCTCTGTGAGTTCG